CAAGCTCCCTGCCAGAAATGAGGAAAGAGAAGAGAAACATCTTTCCTCTTATTAAAGTAAAAGTGTTAGACATATGACTAACTCCACAATATGATTGCTATAGTTTCTACTTTGATACTTAAACTTTCATTAGGACTGATGAAGAAGAGGTTCAAGGAAAAGTCTGGTTTGGGGAAACACAAAGCTCATGTTTTTGCACAGTGGATCCCAGAGATTTCATATTCACATTTAGTTCAAAACAGCACAAATTTCCTTTGTAGAATTCACCTGTAATCTTTATCCAAAAGAGTCCTCTCCCAAAAGTCTGGTATATGACAGGCTCTACCTATATATTTCATTGGAAGATAGTGAATGTGTCTACACAAAACATTTTGTTGCACATTAAACTAATCTAATGCCCAATAAACCATCTACATTTGTGCAGCAATTATTGTGCAGTATATTAGCCTAATGCACCAAAGCAGCAAACAGCAAGGGGGCAGGGAGAGCTGTCCCAGCTCAGCAGGACACCGCCTGCCAGCCCCATGGAGATGGAGACAGGTCCCTATCTCCACATGGCTGGGAGGCAGCTGCCCAGCAACTAAGAGAGCTCTCCCTGCCCCATGGACATCGGGACAGGTCCTGATCTCCACATGGCTGGGCGGCAGCTGCCTGGCATCTGGGACAGCAATCCCAGTCATGTAGGGATTGGGATCCATCCCAATCTCCATGGGCAGGCAGCTGCCCCACAGCCAGAACAGCTTTCCCTCACCCTGTAGCGGTCAGGACCAGCCCTCATGCCCCCTGCCAGCCTAGGGATGACACCCAGGGGACCCTGGAGATCCCCCTGGCTGGTGCAGGGGGGCAGAGCAGGGCAGGAGCAGCCCTAGACAACCGCTCCCATCAGGAGCAAATTTGTTCCTAACAGGCACATGGTTTAATGCATGTAGGGGACCAGTTTAATGAATCTGAATTTTCAGTGCTGAAAAGTCAGGCATGTTAATTGCACATACAGATGGACCTGTGTTAACCAGAGGTAAACAACATCAGTCTAAAACAGTGGTCCTCAACCCATGGTTCATGGGCAATATGGTTCCTGCAAGATCCTCTGCCATTGCTCACAACCCAGAAAATTAGAAACTTAAAATTGAGGGTAATATAGAGAGCAACATATGCTGCTACATGCAAAATAATACTTGCTCCATATTATTGCCCATGAACCAGTGAAGGTTGGACACTACTAGTCTGTAACCATGTTCCCTTATCTAGTGTCTCCCCTTATTAGGCAGAACTGACTAGGCACAAGTTTCTCCATTACTGAATTAGCTAAACCAAAGTATTTGATGGCACATTTATATAACAGAGGGTATCTAGGCAGGATATGATCCCCTGAACCCAATGTTGAGATGCATTTCCCTGTACTAGTGCATGTACCATAACAGTGACTGCGTTTTCAATTGAATAAATGTGACAGTTGAATGTCAGGGGCACACTTTTTTATTTCTTTTTTATTCCAACTACACAAAAGCCTATAATTGGCAGTAGGACGCTGACCCCAAAACTCTGTTTCATATTCATGAAGAGAATCTTATTCCAAAACTGTATTCAGTCTTCAAGAAAGGTGCTGTTCATAAAATTCTGCATAAGAAGCTTAATTTTGACCTTACCTGCCAGCTATACTGATGTGGCCAGTACCATTTCTGATTTACACCAATTTATCATGCTACTGATGGCAGCACAGCATTTTGTCTTTTTTTTTTTTTTGTGGGCCCACTATACTTTTTAGCATAGCTGTGTCCTTGGAGTACTCTGCTAAGTAGCCCAGAGAGAAAACAAATTAGTATTATGGGCTTATGCACCTGAGACATTTCCTTGCTCCTGGTCTTTCTTTTTTCTCCTCTTCCACTATCATGCTGTTTTTAATGCAGCAATGAACGCAGGACATACTTCTTCACACAGCTGTCTTAACTGTCAGTTTTGAAAGCTTGCTTCACCTGTTCTAAGTCTAACGTGGCAAACGCCTTGACAGTCAGTAGGCTACAGAGCTTTATGTTTATTTTTTATGCTATATCCCTGGAATACTATCCAAAAAGTAATGTGTTCCTGACCCAGAAATATGCTAAGCTACCCAAGCAATTCCTAGCTAAGTTGATCTGCCTCTTCTCCCTGTCATCTATGTAGATACATTATCCTTGGAGTGCCCTATTTTACAATAAGAGGTGACACTGGGCACAGCTAATGTGCCTTTTCATATGTGCATTAAATTTAGTACCTCCAGTGTGAGATACTAAATTAATGCTCATTAGGCTTCCCTAATGTGCAGTAGTGCATTTGCATGGTTTTTCAGTGATGCTTTATGCATAGTAGACTATTTTACTGCACATTAGCATAATGTCGTGGTTTTTTATGTGACATTTAAATGCGCAGTAAAACAATCTACTGCACACTAAAGCACACATGTAGACATGCCCACTAGATATGTATATATTATCAAACCCAAAAAAATCACAATTCAAAGGCAACTACTGGCATTAGGCACTGATCCAGAAGCCAAATGGTGTATATTGCAAAAGTAAAACTAAAACCCCCAACTTTTAACAAGTCATGGTGCTCAGACCAAAGGTACCACTTAACTTCATATACTGCCCTCTATCACTTGGATGATCTGCTCAGGTCCCTGCGGACCCTACAAACTATGAAACTATGAAACTTTGTACCCGAAGCCTTCCAGTGATGTAGTAAGTAATATTTTTGGTATTTGTCAAATAGGATGTTTTCTCTACTTCTGTCTTCTTCCCAGAGGAAAACCCACTTATATATGGGCTCTTCTGTTGTCATGAAGTACTATAGCCTGTTATTTGTGAAGGCAAGGTTGAAGAAAGGTACTACGGTGCCTATACATGTTCTCCTACATTCTAATTAGAATACATGGCGGTGGCAGGGATGCTTTAACTAAAACTCATCAAACAAGCTTTAGTTAATGTGCTCCTGTGGCCATTTTGAAATGCAGGATGCTGAATACACATCAGCCTGTGGTGTCCAGGAGTCACTTCAATTAAAAGGCCCACCCCTTCACCCCCCACTCCAGAGCATGTGTACAGACGCTCTTAAATTGGAAAATGGTGAAGTTTGAAACGGTTTGGGTTTTTGTGGGAGCAAGTTCTGCACTCTTGCCCCTATCCCTGAGAAACCTCTTTTTGCACCCGTGAACTTTACTGTTGAGTGAAAAAACAGTTCTAATATTCCAGACAAGTGTCATCATTTGAATCTCTTAATTATTCCTGACTTAAAGCTTGAAGAGCCTTAAAGATGGGAATCAAGAGCTTAAGTTTGTCATGCTGTTGCATGGGTCTCCAGCATAACAAGCAGAGGATATATCAGGGAGAGCAGGCAGGTCATTAGGCAGAGAGGAAACTCCTGTGAGTGCCCACAGTCACTTGGCTGGAGGGGGTGGGGTGTAGGAGACCCTTAAAGCTTGTGCCTAAGAGCAAGCAGGCAGTCTGACCCTGCCAGGCAGAGAGTGAAGAGCTCCTACCCTGGAGAGCTGCAGTGGGAGACTCTGCTGACCCCTGGAGTGCCTGCCCATGTATCAGTACGACACTGAAAGCTCGCTGCAGTGCAGATAGAACCCAAGACAAGGGGAAGCTGGGCAGACAGTGGGTTGGCTTACAGTGCTGTTAGAGCCAGTGGGCTTATGTGCTTTTGTATGAGTTGCACTGGTGGTTTGGGTGGGTCTGTGAAGGGTCCCATTAGCATGAAAGGATCTTGGGGCTAGAGGGCCCAGAGCTTGGGGTCCAGAGCAAGCCCAGTGCACAAGAAAGACCGAACTTGGGGGCCAGAGTGAGCCCAGTGCCCAAGAAGGACAGACCTTGGGGGCCAGAGCCGTGATTGAGGCTGGAGCCCAGAAGCTAGGTCCAGCACAGATGGACCTGAGATAAGAGACCCAGCAAGAGTCAAGGGGCAGAAGCTGAAAAGGCCAAGACCCCTACAGGCACTGGGTGCCCTGGGAGCACATATGGGGAAGGGGGGCCCATCCTGCTTGAGGAGAGGATTTGAAGCTAGCAGGATTCAGAGAAGGAATCCAGTGACAGACTGTAGGACTGGGATTGGCTCTAGGACCCTTAGGCATCTTCCCTGCCCAATCAATTACATCAAGGTATGGCAGG